GATGCACCCCGCGCTATTGCTGATGCCACATCCGACGCCAACGTGTTAAAAGTCTCACTGCAGTAGCTCGATCCTTGGTGTGCGGAAAGAGCGGACATCACGTAATAATCCGCAGGAGCCTGTTAGTATATCCCCTCCCATCTCACTCTCATCGCCCGAGCTTTGTACGCGGTCGCCTTTATGCTTCGATTCAGGGTAATAGACGAACTTCGGATCCTGGTGACGTTCCCTTTAATATCTAGGGTCCACACGTATTGCGATTTTGTTGATAAAAAATTAAAAGGCTTTGTTGCCAACAGCTATGAGATGATGGGATTCTGTAGCAGGTTTAGCCCTAACCAGATGCGCGTCGATCGACAGCTCCGAATAGGTCTAGACGATCCGAGAAGTCCGTCACGCCTGGTCTACACCGCGGCTTGTGACCCGTAGGCTGGCTTAGAATCGAGTGACTGGATCCTTCGTCCTTCGAGGAAGTCAGAGCTGGAATGGATGATCCGTCGGCGAGCCGTAGTCAGCACATTGCGTTCTCTCGGACCCCCAAACGGCCAAGATAGATGCCATCTCCAACTCGCATCATGAATACCCAGAAGTGAAATCCTAACGTTCCTATGGCTGATCTCGCAACTTGCTCACCCGCGCACTAAATTCTGTCGACGATGTTAACCGGCGTCTAGGCTGGCCGACCAAGCTATTAGTGGGCGGCCTTTTTGGCCGCGAGTACACTAGCCTACACAGCTCATCGGCGGCCGGTTTCTGTGCATACGGTGTGCGACACCGGCAGGATTTGAACGCCGGTAGGCCAAGCGACGACAGCAAGGGTCTTTGTCTCAGTAAACTTGCTATCAGAGGGGGGCTGCCAAGGATACTATGTACTCTGGTGTATCTGCACATTTCTGCCACTAGTAGCTGTAAGATGTGGACGGCATTAATTCGACAGTATCAGGACTTCTTCTCTCGCGTTTTAAGTAGACCCCCTCCCTCTACTGGCTTTCAAGAATATAAGATCCGCGATATACGAGGTAACTACCGGATAGTAGTAGGCAGCACATTAGATTTTTACGGACGGGGGCATAAAACACAGTATATACCCTTAGCATGGCTACCCAATCCTGTAGTTCATAGCAGGACAAAGCACCTCTATTCTTGTCTTAGGTAGTCGACCGATACGGCTTCATGTGCGCGTGCAGGACTCGTGAAATTGGCTGCGTAGTGCGAGGCTAGCCGTTTGATTATCCCCCGGGACCGGGCAGTTAGAAGCACTGCTTGAATGATGCTCCGCGTCTAGGCATACGACACTGCGTACAAATACCGCTAGATTAAAGACTACTTACCTGAAGTTAAAGGTCATGTCAAGCATTGTCGAAGGACCATACATGCCGGTCACACACGCAGTTGCCCTTCGGCACCTATATTGTTCGCCTGGAGGATGTTACCGTTCGCGACCGTATCGTCAGTACCTTAGTCACATCTTCCCATGGCGTTAATAGAAATCGCGTATACCGGCCGATCTTTACTTTCACCCACTTACAAGTCGTGGCGTGCTGGCGGGTCGCTCGCCATCAATAGTGTTTATGAACTCATCCCCTGGTGGTTAAATACTCCCCCACTGTTCTCGAGCTTTCAAAGAGACTTGATAGACGAGACGTCTTTTGGGACTGAGAATAGGCCCAGTAGATCGGCGTTCGATCCTGAAGCGCGGAAATATAGACTTGTTATTATTTACAAAAGGATGACAATTTCTAAAAATCGCTAACCTTTATCGGTTGTGCCGCATTGGCTGGCTTTGCTCTAACAGGGGACCAGGCGGCGATATAAGGAATGATGACCCTTGAAGATGTGAGTGTCGGGACTTGGGAAGCTTTAAGAAAATGTCCTTTTGGATTGGCACTCTTCCGGAGTAAGCAGCGTGATCTGGGGGCTATCTTGCGTTCAATGTCATATTTAGAATAAATGTTAATGTGATGGGGTACTTGTTTTTGTCGGCGTGGATTACAGACTATATCTCCGCAAACTACGAGCCTACTTTAGACTATACATGAAGGGTGCTTAGGCACTCTCGCCATACGAGTTGAACCGCAAAGAACTGCCTAAGCCGTGATGGAAACGTCGTCATCATGGAAGTCAGACTGGAAGATTAACTCAACTCCCTATCAACCGTATAACTTGCAATCAGGGAACACAAGAAATCCTCGTACCCATTGGTCTGTCTACAGTGCTTTGATCTCTACCTCAAGGCGCTTCATTTCTAGCGTGTGTGGGATGACTACAAACATCCGTTAGGAGCTTAGCTATTTCCGTAGTCCGTCCGATCCAGGAGCTAGATCTGAGATTGTCGTTCCCCTAAGGCGCTGGCGGCATGGTCATATTCACTGCGCGCTTTAAGGGGCGTTGTAATCCTATGGCTATAACAAAAAAAGCACGGATATTCTATATGTGTAATAAAAACAGAGATGTGACTTGAACATGGCAGATGGACGGCGAACGAGCTGTTGGGGCATGGACAAAAGAAAAGATTGATAGATGCTGTTATTAGCCACTTCAGAGAAAGGTTTCCATTCACTATTCAGAGCCGGCGAATGAAACGCAAGCCAAGCAGAAATTCAGATATGGAGGGGGGAATTTGAGGAAAGAAGTAAGTTATCGTGCAACGAGCATTGCACATTCACGCCGGTTTTGTCGTGTGTTCTCATCGGGAACTATAAGTAGAAGCAGAATACTACCCGTCCGGAAACCTGTGGACTAATACGATCAGGTGTGCAGTCGACGCGTCTTTGATGAATGGTTGGAATGGAAGATCTACCTGGGAAATCGCTAAGTATGGAAAGAAGGTTTCAGGGATGTGTAACCGCTCCTGCAGTTAATTCTACAGCATATACTACAAAAGACATAGATCCGAATTCTTACGGGGTAGAACAGTCTAAGTCTACGCTAACAGTAAGTGGAACCTAAGCCGTCTCCGGCGATGGCCTCTTCTGGGGTGAATATAGAGGATCTATCGCCACTTAAGTAAGCTTGTACTGTAGTACTTGTTATGAGCTTTCAATAAAGCCGTACAAAGCATCCCGGCATCAATGGTGCCTGGGCAGCATTGCACATCCATAGTGTGTAAGTTCTCCGGCCAGTTGCCGCGACCGATGGCTTGCCCGACTAAGGTATGCCAAGACGAAAACCAGTCTTATGCGTCTCCAGCCGGACAGTTGGCGATTGGATCACGGACCGGGACGAAGTTCAATATGATACTGAGAACCGTTCTCGCGGTATCCTGTAGCCTGCCCGGCCATTACAATCATCGAAGGGCATGGTGTTGATTAACTAGCTTATAGCGGCTAAAGTTAGCTGTAATTTAGGTCAGATCTTATGAGTTGGTGCCATCCATCGAGGAGCTCTCCCACGTTCGGCACAATGACGATCCAACAATATTTGTCCTCCGGTAGAAGCGGCCACCAACTGTGAGCCTGGCATGTCGTGACAGGTTGTGGATGCGCTAGGCATTGTCGAAATTCCCTGCATATACGACTGAGAAACTAGACACAGAGTAAGGCCCGAGCATTCCGTAAATAGTGATCCACTTTGTGCGCAACAAGGAAGATGTATCTCTCCATGACGTTGACAAAGCGAGGACTCACTGGTGACACGGAGAAGTAGTGCTGGGGCGAATACTCGAAACTTGGTTATCAATGATTAGTCACTCACTAATAAAACTGATCGAGCACATATGACGGGGTAATGTGGGCCAGGCTCGGGCCCGCTATGTACATCCTAAAACTCTCCCAATGCTTACAACAATGCCTCATGATGCGAGTGGGTTACACGGTATTTACTGCGCAGTCCGGCGCGGGGATCCGTAACACGCTACCCATGTCACATGGCCACGAGAGATCACGGGGCAAGTGAGATGGCCAATTGAGCTCGACTAGACAACTTCCAGTTGACGGCATGCGATAAA